TATTCACGCAGTATAGGTTTTCGGTGTTATTCTCGTTTTAAGTACAGACTACAACTTACTGTTAATAGTGTTAATAAGTTACCCATCATGTTTTACGTACGATTTAAGGRTTTTATGATATTACAATATGCAATATTATTCAACACGTTTTGTATATTGCCTACCTACCCCTCTCTCTCGACGTCATCTTTCTGCAGCGATGTTTTTACGTTTTCTATTTTTTCCCTTATTCCGTCGGCTGGAAATCGCGTGTGAAAAGACACTTTTTTTTATTTCATGTTGTAGGTAGATAGGTATACGATTAATATCTGCTATTATCAAACGAAAGTTGTCATAAGTTGGTCGCTGTTAAAAATTTGAATTGATCGTACGTAATAATAAAACCTGTGTAATCGGTTAAAATGTTAGATCATATATTCATATGTTAAATAATCGCACGAGATATAATATTATAAGACGTATGATGAGCGTTATTGCGCCGTGACAGAATAATAATATTATAATGATTTTCTATTGGTCCATCGTCGGTCAATCGAGTGCCAATGCGTGCGTATTACACAAATCAAATAATCATAATATTATTATTATTGACTTATTGTAATCGCATTACGTGATGGCCGTGATGACGACGTGACGTCATCGTCACGATAAACTATATCGCACACACGTGTTATCGGTTGTGTACATATGAAGTATGAACCTATATATATTATATAGTATGAACCCATATATATATTATTATTATTATATCTGCGCACACCTATATAATATAAGGTTATCATGAGGCTTCTAAACCATTTTTTTTTGGTCTAAAAGATTTACTAGCTGTACTTCAGTACAATTTAKTAACACTTAACAGTTAATATTAACTAAGTTAAAGTTTGATGACGATGAAGTTGCATTTATAGTGATGAATTGAATAAAATTTGAGATTTGTTCTTTGTTGAGGATTTCTTTGATGTTGTACGTGAGGTTGAGAGATGTGTGTATTAATATTTAAATAAATTGGAAGACAATTATATTTATCCCATAACATATACTTATTCAGTGCCTAGGGTTTTAAAACAATGCCTATATATAATATATACTTAGTACACTGATGGACACATCATTTTTCTTAATAAAATAATAATACGTACGGTTACGTAATCATTTTATCTTAACTAATTTAAAATTTATACATATTTTCATATTTCTTATTGCAAAATGTCTTTTTTAAAGCACACTTTTAATGCGTTTTTGGGAGGGAGGTTAAGCTCCCGAAGCTGCGGCTCGCCAGATAAAACTTAAACACTTATCGGTGTACAGTCTGTACTCAATTATACAGGGTGATTCACTAAACATGCTCACTCCCTTTCTTTCTTCAATAATATAGTTAGGTATTCAAAATCTGACTTTCGGAATTTTTCAAATATATACGAGTACTCAAAAGCCATATTCTTTTTAAAGACATTTGTTTTTCTAACGAGTACCCCCATTTTTACAGTCATTTATTTAATGGATAATTCAACTGAAAGTTTAGAGTTTAAGAATCAAAATTCGTAAGAGTAGTTTTTGAGTAATTAAATTCTGTGTACTAAGTAATATTATAGCTACTATAGATAATAATGTAGGTTTACATTATCGTATAATAATGGACTTTGTACTTAGTAAGCTATTGGGGATATGGTAATTTGAGCATTTTAGTGATTAATATTTATCTATCAAAATGAATGATTGGTAAAAATGAACCAAGTATTCTAAATATTATTGGATTAATWTTTAAGTTTATTTTACATTTTTGTAAAACCTTTTTTTCAAACAGTTTAACAAAATAACAACTGAGGAACTACAGTGGATTATACACTTATACTTTATTACTYAGCAGATTACTTTACTGCAGTAAAAAAAAAGGAGTTCTTGATTTAATAACAGAATTTTGCGTGCACTGCAGTCTTTATAGGTATATTTAAAATTCAAAAAAATTATGAATTCAGTATCACACTGTGCGTAGAAAAATGTAGAAAAATACAAAATTTTCGAAAATCAGATAATAATATATTCGTATTTCTCGAAATCACCACTTTGGTGGTTTCACTTGCGCCTGCAGTTTGATAATGGACCACCATATTATCATACGTTCGTGGGTAAACGCGTTAACCTGTACCACGGTTTAAGATATCTTAAACCGTGACCTGTACGCAAATATTGGGAAAACAGATTAACGAAACGCATTCTGATGGAGAKAATCTTAACTAACCGATTAGGGATAGATTTATCCTGCCAAATACTGATATGTATATGTGATATGTGTGCAGTGTTTTATTGAAAATGAATTATATTATAATTTATTAGTAATTAATACACCAACCTAACTGTTTCTGCATCAATATCAATATTTAGATTTTTTGTAGCAACAATCAAATGTATCCACGGGTAATGGTTTGTACTTGGTTAATGTTGGCTGCCTTAGTTTTGACCATTGACATTTTATGTCAGTTGATGAAAAACTTTCCAAATCAGCAATTTTATTTCTAATATCATAAGTAAAAAATAAATAATAGATTTTGAAACAAATAAAATGTTAGATACCTAAATGATTTTTATCATTTTATAATAGTTTTTACAAGAACCTATAAAATGTAAAAAAAAGTAGTAGATTCTTTAAATGTTTGAATCTTATCTAATAAAACACATAGACTATTGATAATCTTACTCTTCAATTGATTTGAGGAGAAAAGAACTTTTGAAATGTTTTTATTAAACACCCAATAAAACTCAAACAGATTTGAGTATAATATACTTAGGTATGATTAATATTTATATAATTATTGACCTGTTCAAAACCGGGAGTACAGCCACTACATGCTTACAGCATTCTGAAGCGCCAGCTTTGCAACTACAAGTAAATGGAATAATACTTAAAGAATGATTTACCAATTCACCATTCACTTCATGTGGCAAATCGTTTAAATGTGATGTTTGTAAAATTAAGGCTTTAATTTGTATAGTATTCTTCTAAAAGTTTAACTTTATTATTATAACAATAAATACATAATAATAAGAAAAATCAATTTATTTTTCAAAATTATTAAATTACCATTTCAATTTTGCCACATACAATAATTTGACAATCCATTAATATTTGCTTACCTTCAATGGCACTTCGAGAGCTAACATCACACTTGGCATAAGTAAATACATCAACCAATGACAGAGACATCAAACCAATTATTGTTAACTTAAATATTGATGCAATTAAATAAGGAAAGAAAAAATTCAAAAAATACAAAATAATTTTTAAATTTTTAAATTGAAAATAACACCAAAACGACAAACTGATAAGGAGTCCCGAATCGATGCAGTGGGGTAACCGCCCATCCATAGTTACACCAGCGTTCCCAGTGCTAATCTGTTTTCCAAATGTGGTTATCAATCGAGTCATAACATTAAACGGTTCACCGTTCAATAATAATAATGCATAATAATACATAATAATACATAATATTGTTGTCTGTATAATACAGATCATGTGTACATAACAACACATTGAGATAAGATTATGGTAAGTGCTTCAATATTATATGTCGTCTGTGTGTGGCGGCACATTATCCGTGAGCTTCACTGAGTGGTACCTAATACAATGTATTACATAGTACGTAAGTAATAGCGCCACAGTGGTTACCTATCTCGTTTTCTAAATCCAAACACGTGCCCGTCGTATTATTCTCGAAAACGTTCAAATTTTCGACGCCTAAGAATTTCAAAAACGTTCAAAACAACATAAAACCCCGTTATTATGATTTTTATTCTTAGGTTGTACTCTTTAGTAGGTACATTGTTCGTGTATACGTCTGCACTTAGCAATGCAGCACTATTTTAGGAGATATTTTGTATTTAGTATTTCCCTACCTGCGTTATTACTCATTTTTTTATTGCAACAGTTGTAAAGTAAAAACCATAACACAACATACGTGATTAGATAGGTGATATGGTCTATTTATCGGTATTAAAGTTTGAAAATCGAATGCAAACGCTGTACACATAAACTGCATCCCAATAATAATTCACCCGTCTTAAGACACGTCGCGGTGCATCCATGCTGATTCACACTTTTACGTGACTTGAACTGAAATCGGTGAGTTCAGTATATCATTTTTCGAATCCAACGTTATTGTTATCATCACCTTAAAGTCTACTACATTTTTCTGATCATGTGAATATTATGATTTCCGCATTATTTACATGATTGTGTAAACATTACTATACATACACCTAGCTAATGAAAA